CAGACAGCTGCTGCCTGGCAAAACGCGTCTGATCTGGCCAGTGGTGATATTTGACTATTTGTACCAATACACACACACACACATACACACGCACGCGCGCGCACGCACACACACACACACACACGCGCGTGCGCGCAATAAGTATCCCATCAGGATTCGGCACGTGTATTGTATACTGAGAACATGGAATCAAGTTTCATGGAGGCATTCACTGCCGCCTGCCTGATTCCCCTTGATAAATCCCCAAGGGTTAGACCCATAGCTGATGGGAGGAATTATAGAGCGAGCGATAATCAAGGTCATTGAAAGCGACGTCAGAGCTGCGACTGCCCCACACCAACTTTGTGTTGGCATACCAGCTGCTTGTGAGGCTGCTGTTCAGGCAATGGCAGCGGTTGTCAGTCTTGATGAAACCGAAGCGGCCGTGTCACTAATAGATGCATCTAATGCATTCAATTCTCTAAATAGGAATGCTGCCCTGCACAATGTTCCTGCTCTCTGTCCTGCTTTAGGTCAGTTTTTTAAAAAGATTTTTTTACTGAAGAAGTCCGGTTTTCAAGAACACGTATGGCACGCCATGTCGTCTCTTTGTGTAGCCAGTGGGGGGCGAACTTCTTTCGCTGGAGGGGACCTGTCAGGGTGACCCCCTTGCAATGGCCATCTACGCGGTTGCTGTTATGCCTCTAATAAACAAATTATCACATGAATGCCCAAGCACCACCCAGTTATGGTATGGTATGCTGGTGACGATTCCACTGCAGGCACCCATGAAGTGACATCCATGTATTGGGCCAAGCTATTGCAGTTGGGAGCAGACTATGGATATCATCCAAAACCAGAAAAGACAGTTCTTTTGGTAAAGTCATCAGTCGAACACGCAGCGCAGCGTTTATTCTCCGGGACTGGGGTGACAATTGTTACGAATGGTGGCGTTTATCTTGGTGGTGTACTTGGGTCTGAGAAACTTCTGCACACATTTGTATCTCGTAAAGTTTTTAAGTGGACGTGCCAGGTAGGGTACCTTTCAGAACTCGTCGCAACTCAGCCGCATGCTGTGTACTATGTGCTTGTGCTAATTCACGCTGGTGCCATTGCCTTCGGGCCGTGAAGTGCTCTCCCAATCAATTTCACAGGCTAGATGATACAATAAAGAATTCTTCTTTGTTGCCTGCAATTGCTGGTGTATCTCTAAGCAGTGACAGTCCACTTCGTCAGCTTATGGGACTTCCATGCCGCGGTGGTGGTGGTGGGCTTAGCATCAGACGTCTGATGATTGCAGTGGCATGAACCTTTGATGTACAACAAATCCAAACTGGACCTCTTTCTCTTGCTCGTTCTTGTAAGATTAAAGTGCTGCTACTGCCTCACTTATCAGAAACTGCACTAATAGAATATGTTCCGTTTGAGGGTTTAGAGCCATTTGCTTGCATTTGTGTTCTATTGTTGTGGCTTCTCCTTTTTCTCTCTCTATAAACATTGCGATTGCAATTCCCATCTTTTCATCAGTTTTGCTGTTCTTTTCTTTCCATCCCATTCTCTTCCAGCATTCATATAATAATTAATGGTTTGTACTTTCCATAAAACACATGTCAGTAATAGCAGCAGCAGCAGCAGCAGCAGCAGCAGCAGCAGCAGCAGCACCACCACCACCACCAGCAGCAGCAGCAGCAGCAGCAGCAGCAGCAGCAGCAGCAGCAGCAGCAGCAGCAGCAGCAGCAGCAGCAGCAGTTCTTACCATCATAGAATGATGAGGTAGGTACAGGAATGAGTTGTGGACTTCGTGAGATTACACTCCGCATTACGTGTTCCAACGCCGTACGCCCATACTGGAAAAATAGTACACACAAACATACACGAAATAAGTTAGACAGATACTGTACATGTAGAAAAGAAAAGGACATATGGATACGAGTTAAGAGTAACTCTCCATCACTGTAACTTTTGTAACTTTTCTTTTCTACATTTATTTATGGCTCAACATCCGAGTTTCAGATACTGTACAGGCAGAAAATTCCGTCGGTCAATAATTTCGTCCAACTCCAAAGAAAGGGATTTCGTCCGGTTGAAAATTTAGTCCATGGACTATAACAGTGTATTGAAACGCTGGACAAATCGACATTCGTCCGGCACTTAATTTAGTCCCAAAGCTCCTTGGACGAAAAAGACGAAATTAAATTCCAGACGAATATTTCTGCGTGTACAGTAGACAGCCACACAGACACACACACACAGGCAGACAGACACGCATGCACACACATGCATGTGCACACACACGCACACACATACACACATACTTCCTCCGTGTCATTAAAATTGTCGCTTCACACATCGCAACGTTCGTGACTTGCTCGTCTTAGTCAGAGTGTCGGAATCGCTGTTTTCTGTGTTCGAACAATGGTGCGACCCTTCCTGCACAATGTCTACTTGTTACTGAAGCCGTGGTGGTCTCAGAGCTTTCTTCCGCACCAAACAACTTCATCGCGCTCCGCACTATTTCGCCCTAGAGCGCGTACATGTATCTTTTCTCGTGGAGTTCGTGCCGGTGGCCCACATCGTGCCGGCGGCGGCCCACATCGTGCCGCCGGCCCACATCGTGCCGCCGGCCCACATCGTGCCGCCGGCCCACATCGTGCCGCCGGCCCACATCGTTCGGGTGGGCATTTATCAAGACTGCAAGCTTGGGTAGAAGAATCCTGGTATCTCTCCTGAATTCGGAATGCTGAATTTCGACGATGGCAAGAACAAAGTGTTCTCAAATTCCTAAAAAATGCACTGCGTGTGGCGCATGTTGCTGTGAAGGTAGCAGGTCTGAAAACACCAACAAAAAATCAGCTAAGCGCTTGCCAAGGAAAGAAGGTGCGGAACTGCTTACCCTATCGCGCCAGAAAGTCGTTACAGTGTACTTGAAAAATACTAGTTTGCCGTCATCGCCTGCCATCTGGAGGCATGGATCGCTTGAAAACAAAGTATCATGACGTGAATTTGAACGCGCGTCATGTTCAGCGTCTTTTTGAGTGCTGAAGGGTCTGCCTCCAACTCTGGTCAAGACGTGGACCTTAGCTGCAAGTGCAGCGAAGCGGGAGGCCACAAACTAAAGCTTGGTCCGGCGACAATGCTCTGCTTCAATTTCTAGCTGATTTCTTTGCCCTTCGAGTGGACAAAATGAATTTGACACATCGCTCTGGGAAACGACTATTTTAATGACGCGGAGGAAGTACATACACATACACATACGCATACACATACGCATACACGCACATACACATACACGCACATACACATACACATACACATACACGCACCCCCACCCACCCACCCAAAGCCATATAAACATTGAGTATCAAGCCAGTTTTCTCAGCCGGAACAAGTTTGAGACTGACAAAAAGTGTGTCAAAATCTGCACCATACGACGATCGTGTCGAGTGACACTACCTGTTAATAAAAGTTGTTATTGCTGTTTGAAAATCTGCGCCAATTCACTTGTTTCATCTTTGAGACAAGACGCGCACTATCGCACTGTTTCACTTACCTTGGTATCATAGTTGTAGCGACTGAGATCACGTGATTCAGTGGCACGCCGATCACCGTGAGTTAGAGCACCCTGAACGCGGAGAGAGGATGGCAGGAAAACGCAAACACACACGTACACACATTACAAACACAACAACGCAGTCGTACCTGGCTCGCTGCAAGAAACAAATACTAGCCGCTGTTGTAGAACGATGTGTTATTTTCCTGTGTAATGACATTCCCTAAACTGTCTCTTATCTCGCATGCACTTGGGTTCTTGAAGTACGGCAAAGCCAGCAAGTTACAGGCTTATAGCCATTCTGGTATAGTAGAGTCGCGCGACCAAGAACGTTGCTTGCCAAGGGGTTAGCCTGGGATGTTCCCATATTTCAGAAACCTGGCTGCATTCCTATAGCATGTTCTTAGAAACAATTTGTACTGGATCACGTGTGTCCCGAAAGCTGCCAGAAGAGAAAACCAACACCGCCATTCTCAGCTTAAGGCTGGATGTTCTTGGGCTCCACGTTCTTTGGCGCGCGTTACTCTACGGTAGTGACATGTTACAACACGCCACTGCACTGGCAGACAAAAGAAGAGTGCAGCATTGCGTGTGGTTTCGCAACATCTCCACAACCTATGGGCGGTAGTAGCAGCAGACAAGGCTGCGTAGGGACAGTTAGAAAACTCACCAGGCTTTCCAGACGCTTGGCAACAACAGACGCAAACCGACGCTCACCAGACAGCTCAGAAATAAGAAACAGGTACTCAGGCGCACTGGTCTGATTGGAGCGATGTGTACGACCTGTGACACACACGCACAGACACACACAGACACACACAGACACAGACACACACATAATTATTATATACACACATATATACACACAAGCGTAAATGAAATGATATGTTGCCGGACAATTGTCCAACGTCGTTTCGAACAACAGACGATGTAGGCGCACTGGAAGGAAGAATCCTCCACCAGCAACTGCCTGGAACCACATCCATACAACCTTGACCTGCTCTTCCGAGAGTGGAGGGCAATGTTTGCTGCACTGGCTGTGCCTGTGACCTGGCAATGGTGTAAGCCTTTCAGACCCTAAGACTGTACTTAAAACTGCAATGATGACAAACTGTGCACTAGAAGATGTAGAGAGGCTGTGAACTGTGCAGTGTACAGAAACCTTGTACAGTACACTACAGTACACTACAGTACAGTACAGTGCAGTACAGTGCAGTACAGTGCAGTGCAGTACAGTGCAGTGCAGTGCAGTGCAGTGCAGTGCAGTGCAGTGCAGTGCAGTGCAGTGCAGTGCAGTGCAGTGCAGTGCAGTGCAGTGCAGTGCAGTGCAGTGCAGTGCAGTGCAGTACAGTACAGTGCAGTACAGTGCAGTGCAGTACAGTACATTATACCATGGTACGGTACGGAGGGCCTGTTTTCAGCCAATCAGCGCTCGTCTAGCAATGGTCATATTGGCCAGTATAAATCCCGC